AAAAAAAAAAAAGTTCTATGTCCTGTAGTTCATTTAAAACCGATTCAGTTGTAATACAAAGAATTGACTTGATTAAGTTTCATTCAGTTCGTTTTGATACAATTCTGATAACTTTAGCACGAACTGATAACATATAATTAGCTTTATTGCTGATAAATTGGCCACATTTCGCTTGCTTATCCTACGAGTTTAAACAATCCTTATGCTTATCACATTTAATTTAGAATATCAATTGATCCATCATCATACCATCATTTATTCCTTGAAAAAAAAAAAATACATTTTCTGATCTGATTTTTAGCTACTATTCACAGTCTAATAATTGAAATTTACACTAAACAGTTGAATTACATTCATTTTGAGGTAAATAGTAAATACTATCAATTGTGATAAGAAAGATAAATGATTACATATCCAATTGATGAGGTGAACATTCCTGTACAAGATAAGATTTTGATATCCATTGTTATCAATTATGTGATGATGAGAGGAATGAAATGGAGAAAAAGAAGAAAGGAAAAGATATTATTTGTATATAAAATTGAAATTGCAGGAAAAAAGGAATGACGGAGAACATAAATGATAATGGGTTGAGCAATTCAGCTGACCAACCGACCGACGATCGTTTCTGTCTTGAAATCCGTTTGAAAATTTGTTGTATCGGTTGACATGTGACCTAAAATGACAGCACATTTCAAAATCAATGTGTTCGAAATAGGCGTTTTTATAAAATCAGTTCCCTATCATCGCACCGTTCCCTTTTGTTCTCTGCTGACAGTGGCTTCGAAGTGATCCTATCCTTATCATCGATAGTACAATTATCATATTTGTTAACCGTTGTATTTGAATTTAAATTTGTATTTTAAAATTAAAGATTTTTAATTACTATTAAAAGTCCAAAAATATACAAAACAAAAGTAATTTGAACACTGCTTTTATGCATAAATGAGTACTGTTGATCGAAATTCCTCAATATATTTCCTACAAAGCCTAAATTTGCTATTTCAGATTAATGGTTTTTAAAAATTGCAGCAAGACACTGAAATCTAATGGCCTACTAATATGCTTGAATGTTCTTTTGTTTTTTGACATCCGGATTGATAACCGGACCGGTAGCCGAATGCACATAGAAAACCAGCTACTGATGCTATTTTCAGAACTTATCAAATTCTATGGAATTTTTATGAAAAAAAGATAATACTTTGATTCATTTTCATAAGTTTTAAAGAGAATTGGGATCGAAATGAAAATTCAGCAAGTTTAAAATTCTGAGTATAATTTTACCACTAAGATTTAAAGGAAAGCGCCGAAAAATAATCGATAAAATGAAATAATTTCCCTCAAAATTTAATTTAATTGATTTTTAAATTGTTGATAAAATAAATATCGAGAAAATGCACTGTTTTCAATTCTGTCATACGTTAGCGCCAATATCGTAACTATGATTAAGTAGAACCTGTAACACTGATCCGAGTACGAAAGTCAGACTTAAATTTTCAGCCTGGGATTTAGATTCGAATCCAAATTTGAAACTTTTTAAATTGATAAAATTTTTCAAATTTTTAATAATAATAGCACGTCTACCATACCTTGGAATTTATGAGAAGACGTGCTATTATTATTAAAACCTTGGAACGTTTACCAAGATTTTTTTTCACTAAAATTTACTAAACAGTCCCTATTTTAAAATTAAGCGAAATTATTGCGATTATTAAAAAGCGCAAAAGTTCCCAAAATTTATATTTCGAATATTTTGAAATCAAATTTAGTCCTAAGCCGCAAATTTGATCTCAAATCTGAGGTTCCAATCTTGGTCCACTCTACGGGTTTAATTTAGCATAATTTGCCGTTTTTGTTTTAGTTTTAGTGAAAATATAACTTGGGGTTTTTCTCTTCTAGAATAATTTGCTCGCCTTGCATCTGAATTTTTTCTTTGTGGAATCTTGGTCTCATTGTAAACTCATCCCGATATGAACTCATTCCGGAACCTCATTGTGCCAACAAAACCTGAAATATGTACACAATATGAAGTAACGAATTGGTTTTCCGGAATTCGGGTGCATTCAAGTTTAGGATCGTTGAGCAATGTAAAGATATTTTGAGGAGAGAATGAGTTTCTGTGAGACTTTTAAGTATTTGGAAACATCACGATTAGCTCCGGAATGGCAATCCGTAACGGTGTTATGATTTGGCATTAAACTGAACTTTGAGATTTAATTATTTGCATAGATTCTATTTAGGTCATGTAAGTTTTCGAAAGAATGTGAAATCACCTCCAGCAATTACGTGAATTATTGAGGATATTAGCTTTTTTCATCCGATATTTTTTGCATCAAAACATTCCTAGCACCAAACACAAAATCGATAATATTCGGGACATCCGAGATATTTCTCCATAGTCAAAACATTTATTAGGAATAGAATTCGCATCTTAGGAGCAAAATGTTTTGGTGCTTTCAGAGATTCGGTTAAAATATATCTGTTATAGTGGCTGTGTCGGCTTTTACTTTTCGGCCAAAATATTCTCTGAACATCGGTAATTTCATACTTTATCTAAGACGTTTCTGATTTCTAAAATATTTAGCAGTATAAGATTTTAGTTACTTTACTTTTCTTTTTTTTCTGCAAAATCTTGAAGATTTTTCGATCAAAATTGCTTTTTTTTCTTTTTTTTTGCAGGTGTTGGAAGAATACGTTGTGAAGCAATATTGTATCCAATGGGGAATATTCTGGTGAGTATCGTTCAGATACATCCATACACATTACCCGGATTTCTCATAGTTTTTGTCTGGATTGCAGCTATTATTCATGCAATTTACAAGTTTATCGTCGAAAAGGTTGCACATTCCAGACAATATCCTTCATTGTTATGCTTGAAATTTACCCATGAAGAATCATATAAAAATCATATAACCATGGAGTGAACAAACAGTTCATTCATATCTTCTTATAGTTCAAAACTGTAATTCGAATTTGCATTCTAAGACTGGAATTGAAACCATTTTGAAGCCATGGGGTGCAGTTTCGATCCATCAGCGAATGATCGACGAGAATGAGATTAAGCGACAACGTCATATTAAAGATATCCGTGTAAGAGTTAATACCAATGATCCAGATATTCTGCAGCAAAGGATGCACATTCTTTCATTGAATTTCTTCGAATTGCGAGGTAAACCGCACTTATTTTAATTGTTATTTTTACTGTAAAGTTTGGTCAGATATTAACTGATTGTTTCAGTATATCTCATACGCATATGTGTTTACCATACTGGCTTATGATGTAGTGAGTACTAAATCATTCTCATTATTTTGATGTATTAAAGGCTTTTGTCTGGAAAGCTGAAATGGTTCAGCGAGAACTTCAAACAGTTTTCCAATGGAGTTTTTGGGTGAATCATTAAGGTTCCGAATATTATTTCGCTTTGAGGGATGTTTGTGTGTCAAGTTCTTTTCTGATATTACCCAACTTTTAAAATGTATTTCCAGCTGCTGTGATTGCGGTTATTCAGTTGGAAGTTCCAGAAAATGACACATGACTTTGTTACTTTTCGTTTTTTAAGATGAATTGCAAAACGATTCTGTAACTGCCGTGGATGTATTAAACGCTTTTGTCTGGAAGGCTGAAATGGTTCAGAGAGAACTTAATTGTATTATTGATTTTCTGGACGAATCTTTCGAGCAGGCCAAAAATTTGGATGCAGAATGGAATAACGTTTCTGGGAAACCTCCGCTTTTTGGTATGCCATTCAGCGTGAAAGGGAATTTTCATGTGAGTATAATGTCTATATGCTATTCTCTAATATGATTAAATGTATGTAGACATTCTTCACCTTTTCAGATGAAAGGTTATGATTGCACTATTGGACTTGCAAAGTTTTTGCAAAATCCAATGGAAAATGATTGCACACTGGTCACTTTTTTGCGATCACAAGGTGCGATACCATTTGTTATGACAACCATCCCACAAGGGTTGTTGAGTTTTAGTTGTTGTAGCAGTTTGTACGGAATAACTTCGAATCCACACTCGCATTCCAGGTATGTCTTGTCGTTTCATTACAGAGTCTTCACTTTTCACTCGGATAGTTCGTTTCTGGCAGTAATTATTTCACCACCGAAAATAGCATCACGTAAATGACTGAATTAGAAACTTTTTATAGACCTTCGGTGACCAATATTCCACAGCCGATTTCAGTTATTAAATGCCAACGTTACGTTCTTCGTAGTATTTGATTTAATAAAACGTTTTAATTTCTGTGCCTTAAACGACCTCATTTCAGAACACCAGGTGGCTCATCCGGAGGAGAATGTGCACTGTTTACTGCTGGCGGAAGTACATTTGGAATTGGAAGTGATTTAGCTGGTAGCTTGAGAATTCCAGCAAGTTTTTGCGGTGTTACCACTTTGAAACTAACAGAAGGTCCCACTGCTTTTATTAATCCGGCATTACTACTTTTAATATATTTGTGAAAGATTTTTTTCGAAAGATTTGCAAACATTCCCAGAAATAATCTTTCATCCCTCTCTTTAGGACGTTTAAAGATGAAATATACGCTGAACACGTGTATTGGTAAGAATCGTTTATCAGTGGGTTACGGTTTCTTTACCAAAACTATCGATGAACAAGTTTTCTTACTTAAAATCCTGCTAAGATCAGCAGAATACCATGAAATGGTTCCACATCAGCCACTTTTTCCGCTAGATGAAAACAAGCTTGCTATTGCAAGCAGTCGATGTCTTCGTATTGGTTATTTTGTTGAGGATGGTTTTATGAGGCCTGTTCCAGCGTAAGTTACTTTTTCAGTAACCTTAATTGCACCTTAATTGCACTTTAATTGCACATTCTGAACGTCTCTTGTGTATCAGAGCACATTCTGAATTTAATCATTCGAAAGTCAAATTTTTATTGCGTGATGACTTATTCAGGATTGTTCCAGAATTTCGGCATTGAAATAGAGAATACATCATTTGATCTTTCAGATGCTCGAGAGTTGTTGTGCAAACAGCTGAAAAATTGAAAGCACTTGGGCACGAATTGGTGTTGTTTCATTTGCCTGATCCGGAACAAGCTGCTTCACTATTTTATCGTGGCATTATGCCATATGGTAGAGAACAGTTACTACAGTTATATGCAAATGAAGTAATCCACCCATTCTTTCGTGCTTTCATCTTCCTTCTTAAGGTTGCTTTTTTCGTTTTGCTCCAGTTCAAAATGTATCCTAGAAACTTCTACATCCTACAGATAAAAAAGAATGAATTTATACCCTGATATTCAAAGTAAAGGGTAGACTTACTCATAACATTTAAAAACAAAGTTGAGGTTATTGATATACTGCGGAATTGGACTATTATTGTATTGTGATCAAAAAACTGTTATGAATAACTTGCTCTTTAATGGGCATTTATGCCGTTTACCTAACGATAAACACAAGCACTTGTCTTCACTATTCTCATTTAAGATGTCGCGTAACTAAACCTTTAATTGCAGTTACCGCTTCCTGTGTGCGGTATTATTAGTTACATTCTGTCATTCTTCAGTACACCACTTTCGATAGTCGCCGGTTCATACGTTAAAAACCTTCGAGATCTTCAAATAACACAAGATTTGACTGATCAGTACATAGAAAAGGTTTTTTTTTTTCTCTAGTTCTTCAAAGTAAAGCACGTTAGCACCACGATATAAGCAAAAAGAATGCTGGAAAAGAAAATTAGGTATTCTGGCGGAAGCATGAGCAAAATTTTTGACAATAAGGATTGGAGGACATTTCGAATAAAGCAAATAGGTCGCAAGATGATCGAGGTTTTATTTCGCATTAAGCAAGTTTTTTATTTCACTTCAGGATTTCTTTATAATTCGTTTTTCAGTTCATAGAGCAGTGGAAAGCATTCGAGCTGGATGCACTTATATGTCCAGCATTTGCAGGTAGAGTTTCTTCATTACTAAAACGTCTTTAGCGACATCTTCGCGGCTATTTTAAAAAAGTTATTGAAGTTTTGGACGAAATGAAGTTCTTTACACTTGCAGTCCCGCCTGTACCGCATGCTTATCCAAGCCGTCTTGGAACTTGTGCTTTTGCGACCGGTTTGTTCAACTTGTTGGATTTTCCAGCTGGGGTTGTGCCTACAGGAACAGTAAACTCAGATGATGATAGATTACTAGCCGATGAAGCTTCCTGGCACACAGGTACTCTTTATATATTGCTTTCATTCACAGTCAACAGTTGGTTCTTTCGAGGACTATTCAGATTTTCCGAACGGGATTTTAAAGGGAAATTTGCAGGCAAGGACTTAGCGCTAAAAATGCTAAGAAGTGCAGCTTGTGATTCAGCAGGTTTACCTCTAGCCGTGCAAGTAGCTGCTTTACCGCTGGAGGAAGAAAAATGTTTGTCGGTAATGAAAGAGATCGAAAAAGTATGGAAAAATTAGGTAATAAATATTGTATTTAATCTTGCACTGTAAATACGGCAAATGGATAACTGGTCGGTGTATTTTGTACTTTGTCACATTTTATTTCATGGATGATAAATATTATGCTAATCATCATTAATTTCTACAAATAATGTTTATTGCTGCTGCATTCTATGAGAGAAGGGACTTATTGATCAAGTTTAAATTTTGGTTAATTGAAGTTGGAATTAAAATAGCCATCCCAAACCAAAATTCATATCATCCAGCTTTGTGTATGAAGTTGACGGTCAGGTAAAATCTAGCCCCAAAACGTCATTCCATTTTGAAGGTTCAAAAAAAAGAGAAAACCCAGTTTGTTAACTTTCGTATTGAATTCGCATAACATGGAGGTAAAAGAACTATTTGTAGGAGTGAATGTGAGGAGACGGGGAAAGAAGAATCGGACTAGATGTAACAGGAAGGAGAGGAGTGAGGCTTAACCCAGTGAAACTAGCTAGCCTTTATAATTTGCGGTATTTTTTCTGATTGTGAATTATTCCAGTTCCTTCGGCCATTGATTTCCAGCAACGAAACAAATTTAAAATAACCAGGCAGTTTCTCCCTTTCTGGATGAATGTAGATGTAAAATTACGCATTCGAAAGCACAATTAGTAAGTAGTTATCCTGTTGGGTAGCTATACTCTCGGCAAGGATTCAGCGATTTACCCTTACAAAGAATTCAAATGACTTTAGAGAAGTCGTAAATAATAAAATCCAACATTTCTAATGTCGATAATCTTCGACGAAATTTTACGTAGTTTGAGAAGCATTGAACAGCGAGAGAAAAGCAAATAGCCAGGTGGGACATAATCACTAGTTAAGAGGTTACCTAAATAGCTATATTTAATCATATAATTGTGCTATTAGTGAGGTGTTGGAGTAAAAAACAGATTTCGACTGAACAAAAGGCAAAGATACGGTACAAACTATGAGGAAGAACTGTTGACAGGTTGAGGAAATTGGCCAGAACTTACAAACGATTCAATAACTACAGTAAGGAAGGAATAACTTAATCATTTAGCTACTGTTAGTTTTACGTTCAACATTTGATTTTCGGATGATTCACTGAGTCCAGGAACACTGCTAAACATTCGAAAACAAAAATGATTGAACCTGGGAGGAATTCAGAACCGGTAGGATATTCAAAACTTTCCGGAACAGGCTATGCCATATGATTTTAACAATTGGCATTTATGCCACCATTTTGAATCGATCCACTCAACATGTGGATGGGAAAGAGAAACTACACCATTCCTCATTACTATTTTCGAGAAATTTTTGGTTAATCGGTCTTCAGCCGTTTGTCCTTCCGGTCGGGGGACGGTGTAGCTAGTATTATTTGAAGGTTTTACCCGGTATGAATAGGAGAGAAATGAATAACATTGGAAGAGTGTAAATTTCGGTACTGTCCGGTTTCCTGAATCGCTTAAAATTCTAGAAATGTTTAAAAAAGTTAGGTTTTCAGTTCATTGAGGTCTTCTACTGATTTTACCAGGATATGAGGATGGAAATTTTGAAAATAACTGTAAAATTAAAACCAAAACCTTGTTGAATTCGTTATTTCATCTGAAAATGAGAAAGTTGTTATCCAAAATTTTCAGGAATTAGCGTTATTATGGCAACATGAGGTGATTTATTTTGGTATATGCCTCAAACAACTAGGAGAAATTATTTCGCGTAAATCAGTGGAGAAATGTTACCTCGTAATTTGCAAACACTACGAGATAGGAAAAGTAACTGGTCGTTAGCAGACGATCGAGAAGTAAGGCGCAGTTATTTTTTCTGGGATTTCTGGAGGAATAATTTTCAAGGTAAATTAAGCGATATGAGCTGCACAAGAAAGGGCAAGACGAGATTATGTTTCGTTTGCTATCTGCGGTTTTTATGAGTCGATATTTCTCACCTGAATAACTCAGGCTTTTGTCCACTTTATTGGGTAAGTAACATTTACTACAGGAATAAGATTTTTTTGTCGAGTAAGTACTGCGTACAATTGAGGTATGAACAGTTGTGTTATTTGTAAAGAACATATATTTTCCACCGTATTCGCTGTTTTTTTTTTTTTTCCTAGCTTTGCGATGTACTGGAGGAAATCAGGTCTTCTTTAACCTCAAAGATTAATAATGTCTCGGATGCAATCCGAGAAAATTCTTTGAAGGTCGTTAATGCATGTGTACAGGTTTCGAATCTCAACAATCGATTGTCCTTATTTGCAGCAGATCAGTTCATTGAAAGTGTCAGTTTACTTGCCCATATTTGCATCGGTTTATTGCCACATTTAAGCTTATCATTCATTTCTTTTCCGGAAAATGCAAAGCTTTTCATCCGAAGCATGGTTTTTTTTCTTGTATTTTTATTATACAAGAAGGAGTGGAAGGCTTGTTCTTAATCTCGTATAAACTTTGGAGTCTTCTTTTGAGTGTGGACTGGGCAGTGTGCTAAGGACGGCATGTATCATTAAGCGGAGAGATTCGAAATTATATCATCGTCGTATGTGGTATCCAATGATATGTTTCAGCGTGTGGGAGATGACACACCAGTATGCATTGATCCAACTTTAACTCCCCAAACGGTTAGCCTTTAATTTAATGTTTTTTTTTTATTTCGAAATGTTAGATGCAGTTTTTGCTAGCACATTTTTTCATCTACTCCCAAATTCAGGTAGTCCAAAATAAGCAAACGGAAGCAACTGATAACTTACGCCAAGCGGTCTCAATGGGGTTAGAGTTAATGCGGACACATTTCAAGCGGATTGATATACGTCCCGAGGATCTAGATGAAGACGACGATTCAGTTTGCATGCCTGAACCAGTCTTCGAGCCATATGTGCATTTTTTCTTTGCTGTTTTTAGTAGGACGAAATTTCGCACTTTGTCATTATTTCTACTTCCTTCCATTTCCTGGCGTTAAGTTATGGTTGGATTTCTTGATGAAAAATCGTTTTTTTGACAGTTTTTGTGCAGTACTTAACGGAAATATATCGCAATCAAATGGTTTGAGATTTATGTAGCTAGTGGTTTCTATACAAAATTGTTTCAACACAAAATATTCTTTCTCTTTTAGGATGAAAATCTTTCACGACCATTACCATTCCTTATCGGCAGTTCAAACTGGAATTCTTCATCTTATACTGATTCTTTGGAGGAATGCACCGAAATAACGAAGGTTCTAACTTCATAGTTTTTTGCATTAGGATAGATTTCGGTAACTTCCAGGTTATCACATTATTGTTTGTTCTGGTGCATTACACTGGTGCTTGTATTGTATTTGGTTTGGTATTCTTAAGAAGTTGGGTACAAATACCCATTTCCATTGTTTCCAATATCAGCACCATGTTGTGAAATGTCATAAATTTAAGGTAACTGAGGAGGTTATTATCAGTTTACCACCTTTTACGCAACCGAAAATGGGGGAATGCAGAAGTCCATCTTACTCGGATGCACTGTAAGTAATTTGATGAGAAAATAGTTCGTGACATCCTTTTTTATTTTAGTGAGGTTCACTAATTTTAATAGCTTTTTTGTAGCATCGTTACTATCTCGATTAAACTGGTTACACCTGTTTATTATTTGGTGTGTAAACAGCAGTAATATTACTTTAATTAGACAAACATGTGTATTTTCATTCATGTGAGTTTATGCTTTATTTAAACGATTTCTGTAGAGATGGGAAGCTATCATGTATAATATCAAACCGAGTAACTTCAAATACCAAAGGTGTTGATGCAAAGATTGGTAACTATTCATGTGAATATAGTGGCGAAACTTATACCTCTCAGGTATTTCGTTTATTCTAATTTTAGAGTATTGACAGACTTTGTAATAAGGGCACATGATTATGTAATTCATCTCCATCCTGTGAAGTTATAGTATGCCTTGAAGTCAGGTAGATACATCGTTCTGATTAAAAGACCAAAAAGTTATTCTATTCCTAACGAAGAATTTTTTTTTTCAAATTTATTCAGGATGTAGTTGCTACGTCCAGTTCACAGACTTCTTTGCTAAAAGAAAGAGAAGTTGAAAACACAGTAGACTTCACATTGGATTTGTCAAGGAATAGGACGTCGAGGCGGTGTATGTTTTGTTTGTACATTTTTCTTTAACTTAGTTATGTCCCGTATGCCGAGAGGCTTAGATCTGTATTATCATGCATTTCAGACTCTGAAGTATCCGTAACACCCCGAAATCCAGAACTATCAGTAAGACATCCAGGTTCCGAAGTATCCCACAGACCTCTGGGTGTGGAAGTATCTACGAGGCTCCCGGAATCCGAAATACCTGTTAAAAGAATATTGGCTACTGGTGCAATAAAAGATCAAGCAAAGAGAAAAACCAGTGAAGTATATTCTTTCATTAAACATTGTTTATGTGATAGTGAAAGAAAACTTTGTGTGGTTGTGCTTCACGTCCCAGCATCTTTTTCGATTGATATACGAACAACTAAATGCTAACATTGGTGACTTTTACAGTCTTTCCCTTCGTTTTTCTTTTTTCTTTCTTTTTTTCTTT